CGTCCTCATCCTCGCCGAACCACCCGAGTCGCCACCGCCCCGTCGTCCCCGACCTCCGTCGAGCCCGCTGCCCTTGACCCTGCGAACCCGCGGTGAGGCCCCGGGCTCCCGCCCCCTCTCCTCGCACTCCCTCTCCCCCGCGACCGTCGCCGCGCCTCGTGCGCTCCGGCCCCGCGCTCACCGCGGCCGGCCGCGCCCTGGCCACGCGCTACACCAACCGGGTCGTGCCCGTCGTCCCCCCGCCCGCTGGTCACCGCCCCTTCCCCTTTGCTCGTCGCGAAGGCTCGCGCCACAGGCCTTCCCCTGTTCGCCGTGGCCGCGCCCCTGTTGGTCACCGTGGACCCGGCGTTGCCCCGCCACCGCCCTGCGGCTCCCTGCCGCAGCCACCTCCGCCGCCGGCGCCAGCGTGCGTCGGGCCTGCTCGGTGCCCCCTCGGGCACCCGTCCGTTTGGGCGCCCGCACCACCGCCCGTTAACGTGTGCCTGTGCCCGTTAAGGCCCCTATGGCCCTATGACATGTGGGGCCCGCCCCATAACGTAAATAAGAATAAAAATAAAATTAATTAATTTATTAATTAATTAACTTAATTAATTTTGATTAAAAATTAAACAACTAATTAAACTGATTACATATTAGTTACCTAATTAACCTGATCTGTTAATTAGTTAATTAAGTAGTTAATGACAGTGGGGCCCACCCCTAATTGATACTAATTAGGTTAATTAAAATGTTTAATTAAAATGTGTCACTGACCAGTGGGACCCACTGGTCAGGTTGACTAGTCAGAGTTGACTGCTGATGTCAGCATGACATCATGCTGATGTCATTAAATCATTTTCGAATTAATTAAATAATTAATTAAATTTCAGAAATTAATAAAATCTTTAGAAAATCATATCTTTTAATCCGTAACTCGGATTAAAATATTTTCAACATGAAAGTTGCTCAGAACGACGAGACGAATCCGAATACGCAGCCCGTTCGTCCGCCACGCGTCCCTAGCATAGTGAACTTGCAACATTTCACCTTCGGTTCATCTGTACGGAAACACGGAACACTGGGGATACTTTCCCGGATGTTTCCCCCCTTCACCGGCATCACCTCATACCACGTCAGGTCACGCCTAGCATCGTTACTTGTCATGTCATGAATCGATATGCATCTGTTTACATGGTATTCATTGTTTCTTCCCCCTCTTCTCTCCGGTAGACTACGAGACCGACACTGCTGTTGCCCAGTTCGACTACGGAGTTGACGACCTCTCTCTCTTGCCAGAGCAACCAGGCAAGCCCCCCCCTTGATCACCAGATATCGCCTAATCTACTCTATACTGCTTGCATTAGAGTAGTGTAGCATGTTACTGCTTTCTGTTATACCTATCCTGATGCATAGCATGTCCTTGATACTACTGTTGTTACCTTTACCTGCAATCCTATATGCTTAGTATAGGAGGCTAGTATATTCATCTGTGGCCCTACATTCTTGTCCGTCAGCCATGCTATACTATCGGGTCGTGATCACTCGGGAGGTGATCACGGGTATATACTATATACTTTATACATGATACATGTGGAGACTAAAGTCGGGTCGGCTGGTGGAGCACCCGCGAGTGGATCTTTGTGGCGGAGCGACAGGGCAGGTTGAGACCGCCTAGGAGAGAGGTGGGCCTGGCCCTGTTTGGCGTTC